ATTTAAATTTGAAATTAATAATTATCGAAAGTAAAAGTTGAAAAAAATTAAATGTTAAATTCTTTTTAAGCGATTAAAAAATATATTCGTAACTTCGTAACGGTCGTTAAAGTACTTGCAATTGCAAAACACTCGGTTATAAAAGTATTTGAATTTTAATTGCTCTTTAAGATTTAAAAGAGCTGATTCTTTTTATATGATTAAAAGGAATCACGCGCACTAGCTAATTAATAAGTTTATTAGTTAAGTTAAAAGTCTTTTAACTGATATGATATATTAAGCGAAGCATATTAAGTAGCCCGTGAACTCCTTTAAATACTATTAGCTAGCTAAGGTCGATATAGATATACCGATATTAAGGTCTATATATAAAAAGGTTGTTCGTAATAATCAACTTAAGTAAAAAGAGCTTAAAAGCGTTAAAAGATATAATTATAATTAAGCTTTAATAAAAAAGAAATAAAAAGAAATGAAAAGATAAAAAAAAAACCGTTAATTAAAACTTAACGCTCGTAAGAATGCTGCTTAAAAAGAATTAAGCGTAAGCAAAACCCTTTTTAAAAATAAACTAATTTAATAAAATATATTTAAATCATAAAATGATGTTATACAATATTTAAGTATATAAGACGTTGATATACAAGTTCAAATCAATAGTTTAATAGCAAATTCGCTAGAATCTAAACATATCTTCTTAAGCTATTGACTAATCGATTTATTAATCGATTTACTAATCGATTTACTAACTATCATATAAGATTATATAAAGCGCATTCTTTCGCTTCTTAAAGCAAAGTCGTAGCAAATCGATTATATTCTTTACAAAGAAAACTAAGCAAAGTAAATTAATCGAAAGTAGCTACGGATTTACTTTTCGATAAGCAAACTCAAGATAATATAGATTAGACCGTTCTTAATAATATAAAAAACGAAAACGATTTAGAAAATTTAGATTCGAACGGTACGAACGAATCGACTAGCTTTAAACGCTATATAAACTATAAAAATAAAGTGCAACGAAGTACGATATTATATAATATACGCTTTTATTTAGATATAAATTCTAACTTAATTATTAGCGATAATAAATTTATACGATTAAAACGATTCGAATGATATTTCTTAATAAAATTATTTTAACGCGGAAGAAATATCAAGCCTTAAGCAAAATAATAAAAGGATAATAAATAAAAAAGAAGCTAATAAAATACCGAACTCGGCTTCGCTATCTTATAGAACTTTAAATGCCGCTCAAACCCCGAAACTTAGTATTTCGAAACTTAAAACTCTTTTAATCGTTATTCAAAGTCAAAGTAAGTCAATTATTATATATAAGTTTAACGACTTTAAATCTAATACTTTTATAAGCGAACGAATTACAAATCTATTATCAACTTTAAAGCGCAAACGAATAAAAGAAAAAGAAAATGATAAAGCGGGATTAATATAAAATAAAAAGAAAGAAGCTTCTTTTAGAATCAAGCGTTTAATTGCAAAAAGTATCGCTCTTGCTAAGTTTTATAATTAGCGATTTTGATTTTATTTACTAAATTGCTTTTTTTGTATCATTAAGTTTTTGTATTTATTTATTTACAATTGATTGCAATGATTAATTGAATTCTTTTTTATCGATATCTTTAGTTTTTTTATTATTATTAATATATTTATATCGACCTTAGCTAGCTAGCTAAGAATACCGGTAATAATAGTTAAAAGAAAAGTTCACTCGTAAACTATAATTTACGAGTCAATTAGCATGCTTCGCTTAAAATGTTATATTAATCAAAAGACCTTTAACTTAATTATAAAACCTTTTAGTTAGCTAGTGCACGTAATTCCTTTAATCATAAGTATTACTTTTATTAAACTTTAAAAGAGCTAATTCTTTTTATAACTATTAAGTTTTTTAATAAAGTTAAGTTATTCGTAAAACTATATAGCCCGTAAACTATAGTTTACGAGTAAGTTACGTATAGCAGCTTTACGTACGCTACGTATAGCAGCCTTACGTGGGTTACGTATAACAGCCTTAAGTACGTTAAGTGTGGCAGCCTTACGTAGGTTACGTATAGCAGCTTTAAGTACGTTAAATGTAGCAGCTTTACGTAAGTTACGTATAGCAGCTTTACGTGGGTTACGTGTAGTAGCCTTAAGTACGTTAAGTATAGCAGCTTTACGTAGGTTACGTATAGCAGCTTTACGTAGTTTACGTATAGCAGCCTTAAGTACGTTAAGTATAACAGCTTTACGTAAGTTACGTATAGCAGCTTTAAGTACGTT